CTCATTCTGCAGCTCCGGATAGGCGGCGACCAGGTGCTGGTACTTGGGATGCACTGCCAGCCAGCTGCACAGCATACGCACGGCGTTGTTCTGTAGACCCTCGTTGGTGTAGCAGACGGCCAGGGCCATCAGGACATGCTGGTTGTCCGGCTGCAGGTCGTAGGCCCGCTTTAGCGCCGCAATGGCCTGAGGATCCATTTCGTTCTCCGCCTGCGAAGTGCCCAGCAGCTGCCAGACCTCGGCGCGCTCTGGCTGCTTCTTGGCCGCCACCTCAAAACAGAGAACGGCGCTGGGTATGTCGTCCTTCGCTAGATACTCCTTACCCTTCTCGAACGCGTTCTCCAGCTCGGACATGGGATTCTCCTCGGCGAACTCGTACTCCTTGTAGGCGTCCATGTTGTCATTGTATTCCGATAGCCACGGATGCTCGTTCTCATCAGCCAGCTTCTGCCACTCGTCCTGCAACCGCTGCCAGAACTTCTCGTTGAAGTTGGAGGCAGTCTGCTCCTTCTGCTCGGCACTGCGCTGGTAGTCGCTAATCCAATCTTCCAGCGATTCCCCCTGCGGCGCCTGGGGGAGGTTATCTGTGACGATGGTCTCCATGGCCGAGTCGAAGAAAGGGTCCTGCTGCTGCTGTCCGGCTGTAATGGCCATCAGCGGATGTCGGTGCAACGGTCGGAAGTTCTGGCTGCTGATCAAAGGCTCGTCGAAAAACTCCTGGGCGTGCTGCAGGTCCTGTTGCTGCGCCTGCATGTGGATCATCTTGTTGGGCAGCGCAGGCGCTAGACCGCGTGCAAAGTCCTGACCCCACTGCTCGGCCTGCTGTTGGTGCATCTGCTGTTGTGGATTTCCGTAGATGTTTATGTCCCGCATCTCCTGGAGCAATGTGTCCATTTGAAAGGACTGCGGTGGGGCAGCCACCTGGCCCAGGAACTCGTTGATCAACTGGTCCTCGGGACGAGCGCCCCGCTCGAACTGCCGCTGCACATAGCCCTCATCCTTGTGGGCAACATCGCGGGTGAACTGGCCGCCCAGCTGCATCAGCGGATTCACGCCGCCGCAGTCGCCCTCGATCAGCGGGCGGAACGACATGGTTCTCGAGGTGGAGGATGCTACGTAACGTAACTGGTGCAACAGGCGATAAGAGGAGAGGCCAAGTCAGGTCCACAACAAAGGTCCAAATGTCCACCAAGATTACCTGAGCATTGTATCGGCGGCTATCGACTTTGTTATCGGCTATGCGCCAGTGTGGCACAACGCCCCTAGCCCACTAGGGGCATTCAGTAGTAATTAAAATATCGCCGCGCAAAATCCAATCCTCGAGAGAATTGGTTTCAAAACCTAAATCCCCGCCTGCACCATGGATTACGACCTTTTCCAGTCGGATGACGACGAGGAGATCCTGACCGCCTTTACCCTGGCCACCCAGAAGCTTCAGCATGAAACCGGCAAGGGGCAAATGGACGTGGACGATGCTGAAGAGGAGGAATCGGACGAGGGACTGGAATTCCTGCCGGAGTTCTGCTGCAGCGGCCGGGACACGCTGAAGAGTCAGTTTCCGGGCGAGGGCTTCTTGCGGAATGGCTACGCCCATCTGGATCCACCCCGCTGTCGCCTGGAGAATCTCTGCTTTGACTTTGACCAGGGACAACTGGTGGTTGCAGCAGTGAGGAACTACCTGCATGGCGAGGCCTGGTGCGTACTGATCTTCTTTTCCAACCTCAAGTCCTAACCTGCCTCCTATTTACAGCAAGAATGTGCAGAAACTATTTGCCGCTGTGGCCGGTCAACAGCAATTGCAGGCCACATCTGCCTTCATGAACTCCGGCTGGTATCAAGTGCGCCAGCAGGTCAGCCACTTCTATCACCTGATGCTTCGCCTGCGGGAGAACGACCTGCTAGCAGAAGCACCACAGTTTCTGGAGGATCTTCGTCACTTGCTTAACAATCAGCTGGATACGGATGCCTGGAAGGTTTTGTACTTTGCGGAGCACAGCAAGGGAAACGAGTGCCAGGCACCGGCCTATCACTTGTATCACGGCATCCTGGAGTGGCGCTTCTTGGACCTCCACATGTTGTTTGCCTCTGGAGAGGATCAAGGCTTCCTGGGGCAGCTGGAGCGCACGCTGGACGATCTGATCGTGTGTGCCGGACATCACTACCGGGGAAGACATCGCCCGGAGCTCATCCATACCTCGCCGTTCGTGTGTCGCTGCACCAAGGAGCTGTGGTTGCTGCTGAAACACCTTATCCCCAAATGGCTGGGTGAGAGGGATCTAGACTTTTGGATGCTCTTCCACAAGGCCATGCAGAGGCATAAGTCAAATTATTTTCAGGGTAAGCGGCGAAGATGACTAGATTTTGTGGATTTCCCTTTTAAATCGCACCTTTTATTCTCCTTCAGGTGACAACTATGCTGTTTCTTTGGCGTACCACGAGTTCTATTCCTGGTTAAGACTTGGCCTGGCCCGTTTGGACGAATACAACAGCGAGGGTCAGTACCAGCCGGATCATACGCTCACCTCGCCACCTGGAAGCTTCCAAACCGCCAATCTGCTTAAGCAATTCTTGGCCAGCCAGCCGGACGAGCAGCAGCGACGTGTTTACCTCACGCTACTCGCTCCTCTGCAACTGCAGCTCGGGCATCCGGACACGGATGTACTCTGTCAGCTGTGGGAGTACCTGCATCGATCCCTAAATTGCAACTTTAGTGCGGGAACAGAGCTGGACCAACTACCGCTTACCTGCACAAATGGGGCTGCTTACGTGGAGCGCTACAGCAAGCTACTGGCAAAATCCCAGCTGGAAGATCTAAATCTCAGCAGTTTCACCATGTACGCCTGGATGTTGGGCAGAACTTTAAAGCTGTTGCCTTTGCAGGGACGAAGCAACCAACGCCAGAAGCTGCTCGGTCGCATCTTCAGCAAATTTAGTGCCGCGAAACTTTTGGCTCTCAATGAGCCAGGTATTCACCATGTGATCGAGCTCTTCTTGTGCCTTTTGCTCTGCCATGAGGATCTCGGAGAGCTGGCACCCAAGCTGCGTGAAATGCTGCTCTGTCTGGCCCTGGATAAGCTACCACCGGTGCGGAGGATTCTAGTGGCCAAGGGCCACATGGCTCTGCTCCTCTTGCATGCCCAGCATCGCCTTTCCATGGATGATTATGTGGGCAAGCTGCTCAGCCAGTTGGCCACCATTCGGAACGATACGGAGGTGGCCGCCATCTATGTAAACAGCCTGCAGTCTATATTTGATCTGGCGGATGACTTTAAACGCGGCGAACAGCGGCTCCTGGGGCCCTGGCTGGCGCACTACGTGGAGAAGAGTGGCCAGGCATCGCAGGATCGCGTTTGGCAGGCCATTTACCATCTAATCCTGCGTCTTAGCGAACCAAGAGCAGTGACGGGTAATGCCAATGGCATAAAGGAGGCCCTCCAACAGCACATTTTGCCTGTGCTGAGGACACAGTATGTCAGTGGCCATAGCTCATGGATCCCGAAGCTGGCAGCCAACTTTGTTGCCCTGGACAAGGATGGGGACAAGCTGCTGCTGGGCTTCCTGCAGGGACCAGAACCAATTAATATGGCCGCTTCGGCTCAGTTGATGCTTCATGTGCTGGAAGGCGACGTCCGGCCAGCAAGCTCGACGATCCTTCAGGTTTGGGTGAAGTCTCTTGTTCTCCTCAACGCGCAGCATGAGTCTGTACTGGCTATGAAACCTTATGTCATCCAGCTGGAGGAGTTCAGACAACTATTCATCGATCCAGCCTCTTTGGAAAGCGGTCGCGAGCCGCTCTGCGCCTTTTTCGGAGCTTTGGGAAGGCGTGCCCAACAGGAAGAGGGTGCGGCCCACGTGCGGATGCAGTTGAGCCACAAACTGCACGCCTATGTGAATCATTTCGAGCTGTGGCTGCCGCCGGATCGGCTGCGTTCGGAGCTGGGATCCCGCTTTTACAGCTTCCTGGCAATCGTCATCTACAACTGTCCCACTCTGGCGTACGTGCGCTCCAAGCCCACCTGTTTCTTTCACCTGGCAATGGTGCGGTTCCTGCTCACCACGCAACTACAAGCTGGAGTTCCTCCCGAGGGGCGCTTACCGCAGATGGTGCACAAGATCTTCCCTGTGTTGCTTCAGGGCATTGGTCGGCTGCCCTACCGCACTGACGCCTACGTGGCCAAGACACTGGAGCAATTGGTTCAGCACTGGACTCCGCACTTTAGCTTCTCCCCCAACGCTAAGCTGGTGGCTCGACCGTACGCCACGCTCCTCCAAGCGGATGTGGATGGAGTGCTGGCGCAATTTGTGCTCCAGCTGCTAATGAGCCAGTTCCTGGTGGTGCAGCGACGAAAGGCGGGTCAGCATGCGGGTCTGGTGATCACCATCGTGCAGCAACTGATCGAGGGCACGGCCATGGAGGAGGAACAACAGATGCTGACCCTCTTGCGCGGCGTGCACATCCAGCTACTGGAGCACGTGATGTTCGTGGATGAACTGGACATCAGTCGCGGTCAGGTGTTTAGTCTCTATGGAGCGCTGGTCTCCCACGGGGCATACAAGCGCTCGCAGGCTGTCAGGGATTTGTGCTCCAATCACTTGCGATCGCTGGCCGAAAAGCACCTGGCCCACTGCACGTACTTCTACTTCCAGATGCTGATCAAACTGGCGGAGCTAGCGCCAGATCTGGTAGCTCCACTGCTGTCTTTTGTGAGGGAGCAGGCTAAACAGGTGGAGCTAAAACGCGGCGCTGGCCAGGATGTGGGCATACGCAAGTGCCTGCAGCGACTCCAGAATGTCTTAAGCAAGGTTTAAGATTTCTTTAAAGTTAGTTTATAGCTCTAGGTAGATAATAACAAATTGGTTTATAGTGTTATGATTGTGATTTCATTCTATTTTGGCACTGCTAGTGGATTGTTCTGTAAATGAGTTATAGCATTTTTACAAAATAATCAACTTTGCTTTGCAAAGAATACTTCACTCCCTAGTTTAATTGAGAAACCTTGTTTTAAAGTTTGGCATTCTATAAAATGTTATTATTTCAGTCGGAAGTCTTGATGATCCTCTTTCCATTGGAGATTTACTTTAAGGTGCGGTAATAATTTACATGTTAATTTATACAAAAACACCATCTGAGCTTACGGATTTACTTTTAGGCTTGGCAATAAATACACTAATATTGCTTCTCATTCTGGCAGTGTGTGTGTGGGCAGGAGGCTAAACCACGTTCTTGGCGTCCCGCGGTATGCGGTTGGTGAGCAGTGGGGCAGGCATGAAGCCGGAGTCGCCCAGGTACTTGATGGACACGTTGCCCGACGGGCTGATGGTCAGCCAGGTGATTGAGGCGTGGTTGATGCTGATGCGGAGCCAGCCCTCGGCGGGGAATTGGAGGGCGCGACAGACGAAGTACCGGATCACGTTGCCGTGACCCACGATCAGTGTGTAGCTCTCCTTCTCCTGATCGGGATACGCGCGGTGGAAATATCGCCGAAAGGCGGCCTCTATGCGCGATCCGTCGCGCAGGAACTGCTGCAGGGAAATGAAATCCGGAAATGAAATGGCGTTCTCATTGGGTTGACCCCCTGACTTACAGATGCCTCCGGCTTCCAGTGGCCCACTGGCGGCTGGGGCGGAATGGGCGCTCCCTCGCGCAGGAAGGCGCAGTTCACCACCTTCTCCTTGTCGTAGTCGATCTGCTTGAGTATGATGTCCGAGGTCTCCTGGGCCCGCACCATTGTGGAGGCCACCACCTTGTCCCACTTGATGCCCAGCTCGCAAAGCCGTTTCCCGGTGAATTCCGCTTGCTTGCGGCCGCGCTCCGTGAGGTGGTGCGTGTCATCCGAGTCGCCCACGTCCAGGTACTCGCCGTGCCGCACCAGGATGATGTGACGCGGCTTCTTGGCCTTGGCCTTCTCCAGCTCCGCATTGAAGCGGTTCTCCTCCTCCGGCTGGCTGTTACGCAGGGGACGGACCAGGGCGCGAGGCTCCCGGCAGTCCCAGTTGCTGTCCCAAAGGGCCCACGGATCCACCGGCTTGTCGCTGTGCGTCCACGAGTTCTGCACCGCCGTTTGCGGGTCGCGCAGCCGCTGCAGGTAGTACGCCGCCAATCCGGCTCCTGTGCCGCACACAAAGCTGGTCAACTTTCGCATCTTATTTGGGATCTGTGGCGGCTTTACCTTATTTTCTTTATTCTTATTGTTATTCCGCTGAATAGTGTGTGCGGTATTTAAATACTGTGCTTTCGGTATTTGCCTGAGTGAGCATAGTAGCATATAAATACCATACAATGGTATTTCGACGTCAGCGAAAAAAGCGTGGGAATAAATGGCGCGGTAAAGCTATTTCAAACGCTAACATTAAAAATTAAAATTTTTTTGTGATTCATTTGATCAGGCACATATTTAATAAGGCACAAATAGGTATAAAAACAACAAAAATATGAAGGAAAAGGGTTTTATGTATCACTTAAACCCAAATAAATACTGAATAGCAAAAAGTACCAAATCAGGCACTCCTTAAAAACAATCGAATTGACGGCGATGTGGCAACGCCACTGTGTGAAAAATTGCAATTTTTTTCATTTCACACACACATACGCGACACACACGCCAGCAGCGCAACGAAGGACCAAAAAAAGGCCGCAGAAAAACGCCCAATAAAGCCGAGGGTTACGGAAAAGAATATCTAAGGGATACGGGTGACCAGGACCGCCGACCAGGAGCCACAGCGTCGACATTCCAGCGGAGCAGCAAGAAGAAGCACCCGAAGCAGAGGCGGGGGCAAGTGGAAGAAGAAGCAGCAGAAGAGGAAGAAGCCGATTCGTTTCGACGTTTATCAATTATGAATTTCCTGGGTTTCGGCCAGTCAGCGGACATTGAGATAGTCTTCGATGGAGCTGAGCACAAGACGGCGGAGGTCAAGGGGGAGGACGGCAAGGTGGAGAAGATGCTGCTCTTCTACGACGGAGAGACGGTATCCGGCAAGGTGCGTCCTCTTGTTCACCAGGGGGAGTTGCCCCTCACTTTACCACAGATAAACCCATATCCACCCCTCATTTTTTGTTGTTATCCAGGTGAACGTGACCCTCAAGAAGCCGGGCAGCAAGTTGGAGCACCAGGGCATAAAGATCGAATTTATCGGCCAGATAGAGCTGTTCTACGACCGCGGAAACCACCACGAGTTCAAGTGCTTGGCGAAGGCTCTGGCCCGTCCGGGCGATCTCATCCAGAACAACAGTTATCCGTTCGATTTCCCCAACGTCGAGAAGCAGTTCGAGGTGTACGCCGGGTCGAACGTGCGGCTACGGTACTTCCTGCGCGCCACCATCGTCCGGCGGATTAGCGACATCACCAAGGAGGTGGACATCGCCGTGCACACACTGTGCAGCTACCCGGAAATGAACAACCCCATCAAGATGGAGGTGGGCATCGAGGACTGCCTCCACATCGAATTCGAGTACAACAAGAGCAAGTACCACCTGCGGGACACGATCATCGGTAAGATTTATTTCCTGCTCGTTCGCATCAAGATCAAGCACATGGAGATCGCGATCATTAAGCGGGAGAGCACGGGCACTGGACCCACGATGTTCAACGAGAACGAGACGATCGCCAAGTACGAGATCATGGACGGGGCGCCCGTCAAAGGCGAGAGCATACCCATCCGGGTCTTCCTTGCCGGCTACAATCTCACGCCCACCATGCGGGACATCAACAAGAAGTTCTCGGTCAAGTATTTCCTCAACCTGGTGCTGATGGACACCGAGGACCGGCGCTACTTTAAGCAGCAGGAGATCACGCTCTGGCGCAAGGCGGACATACCGCGCTACCATGGAGCCCAGCAGCAGCAGCAGCAACATCAGCAGCACCAACACGTCCCGCTGCACGCTCCGCCGCATCTGGTCAGTGGCCCCGCCGCGCCCACGGTGGCCCATTCGCTGATCAGCTCCAGCACGGACAGCGGCGAGGCGGGCGGAGCTCCGGCAGCGCCGGGCACTGCGGGATCCGAGTCGAAGATGGGCCTGTTCACCAGGGAGAGCCCCAATCAGGAGTTTAGCCAGCAGCAACTGGACTCGCCGCCACTGTCGCCCACGCCGGCGACGGCTCCCGTTTCAGTTCCAGTTCCAGTTCCCACATCGGCGACATCTGCTCCAGAACCGGCTCCCGAGCGGGGTATGGGCGATGGAGCCGCAGCGGCCACCACAAGTGCCTCGCCCGTTGCAATGCTCTCCAGTTCGCCGCCGCCATTGCTGCCAGCGTCGCCGCTTTCCCGGTCCGATGGCGATTCGTCGGAGGTGCAGGTGCAGCCGGAGGAGGAGGCCGGGGACGCAATTACGGCCACTGCGAAAAAGGCCAGCGTGACGCCGCTGGTGGCCGATTGAGTGGTTAGCTGGACAGGATCTCCATCTCCACGGGGGGCTAAGCAGCAACAGCAGGCGGAACTATTACGCATATAATCGTATACAGCAGCAGAAGGGCAGAGGAGCAGCAGCATCAGCAGCAGCAGCAACAAATATGCATATATCTATTTTTTTAAAGTTAATTTAAAATTGTTACAAATGTTTTATTGAGGTTATGCGCGTCATTTACCAAAAGCAAGCAAAACGCAAATGATAGTAACGAAACAAAACGAAACTTAGGACAAATGAGAAGAGGCGACCTCGTAGCTATAACCAATCTCTAGGCGTTTCCATTGGTATTATTGCTAAAGAAAACCGGAAGGAGATGGTGACGGTCTCTGACTCGGATTCGGATTCGAACCCGAACCCAAATCAAAATCCTCCACACCCCCTAAACTAGTTAAACCCCCTAGTATTCCGATGACCATTCCCTATCCTGTTGGGGCGTTTGGAAAATATAATTTTTCAATATGAAAAATGTTGAAATTGCTTTCTAAAAGTGAGAATCCCTGAAATTGAAATCAAAGTGTGCATTAAACTAAACCGACTCCAATACAGATAACAGATAAAAGCAACAAGACAAAACACCCATTAAATAATAAAGTTTTAGTCTATAGCGTACTAAAGAATCGATGCTGGGAAAGTTCTAATCTGATTATGGCGATATGTCCGGACTCCGGAGGATCGGAAATGGAAGCGACGAAACATGTTACATGCCTTGCATATGTACATAACAGTTCACATACATAATATACACGAAATATTAATATACATATATACACTTAGAAACGCAATTAAACGAATAAAAGCGAAGCGAGCGCCAAACACGAAAGAAACAATGAGATATATCAGTTCTGCCTAATACAGTGAGTTTTAGGAGTGTAATCGGGTCGAGCCTATCTATAACTCTAATATGTTCAGCAATATCATAGTCCGACATAGAAGATGGGGAAGTTCTGTGCCAAAAGCTTTTGTACTGATAAACATATGAAGATGATTATGGACGTCCGGTGTTGCTGATTATTCATATGGGGCAGAGATTGCTCAACCAGTGGCAAAATTGACTTAGTAGATCCTTAGCGAAAGACGAAACTGGGACAGGATATTCAACAAGTGACTGAACGGCAGGCTCTTCTCCAGCACTCATTACATAATTTCCATAAAATCTATATTTATTTTACAAGTAACGAAACTTTAACAGGTGTGGCAGCTAATCCCAGGCCTCCTTGATCTTCAGCTGGTTCAGCCGCTCCTCGATGGTCACGTGCGGTTTCATCTTACGCAGAGTCTGCTCGTCCGTCCACTTGGCCACCAGTTTCTCGCGCTTCTGCAGCTCCTTGGCGTGTCCGGATGACTCTTCCTGGGGGCAAAGGGGGTGTGGTCAGATGGGACAATCCGCGGAGATTGCGGTGCAACTTACCAGGGTCAAATAGGGGTGCCGGAGGAGCAGCATCACCTGCTCCTGGCGCTCGTACTCGCGGGTCAGGGTGTCCATCGCCCGCTGGCTGACCGGCTTCACCAGCCGCCGCTTTCCCCGGAATATGTGACCCGGAACGGTCTTCTTGAACATGTTGATCAGCGTCAAGCGCATTATTCAGTAATAAATCTCGCTAATTTACTTATTTTATTTAACAAATTTGATAAATACAAAAAGTATGTAACGAATCAAGTGTGACCAAAGTCTTGGGGAGAAATCACCGATTATTTTGAAAACATCGATGGACCGAAAGGAATCACGCTCTCTGTGATCGATCACAAAGTTACCGCATTTCCGGTTCGGTTGAATTTGTAAATGAAGTGATCATAAACAACAACCAACAGCGAAAATGGGAGACGCCGTGGAGGCCCTGTTCATCAGCACGGGCAGCGAGGACAACACCACGTGCAGCGTGCAGGATTTGCGGACGGGCACCGACCTTATGCGCTACAAGGGCGGCGGATGTGCCCAGCACCACGGCCTGGAGATGATCCACCTGAACTACGTTTTCGCGGCAAACTCAGCGAAGCCACTGCTTCACGTCTGGCCCATCAACAAGCAGGAGCAAATGGCCGGACTGCGGTTCGTGGTGCCCGGCAAGGTCAATGCGCTGGCGCTGACGCCTGATGGCAACTTCCTGGTGGCTGGCATCCAGGAGAACATATACCTGTGGCACATGAACTCCGGTCGCATGCTGAACACCCTGTCAAAGCACTACCAGGCGGTCACCTGCCTGCGCTTCACAGACAACGGCGAGCACTTCATCAGCGGTGGCAAGGACGGATCCGTGCTCGTCTGGGATCTGACCTTCTCGGCCGCCCCGCTGGACACGGGCGGTGGCAAGGATAGCACTGATCCGTTGTACAGCTTCAACGATCACGGCCTGGCCGTCACCGATCTGTACTCCGGCATCGGTGGCATCCGTTCCTATCTGTACACGGTCTCGCTGGATCGCTGCTGCAAGGTGTACGACCTGTGCGGAGGCGTCCTCCTGTTGAGCGTGGTGTTCCCGGTGGCCCTGCACAGCGTGATCGTCAACAAGATGGAGACCACAGTGTATGTGGGCTCCGGCGACGGCAAGGTCTTCGCCTTCCACATGGAAAAGGCTCCGCGCATGAAGGTGTGTTTTCCCTTCGTGAATTTTTCCCCTCTTGCCAACTAACTCATTTACTTGCTTAGGAATACCACTTGGAGGAGGAGGAAATTCAGGCCTTTGTAGGCCACACCGCCGGCAAGGCAATCACCTGTCTGGCCTTGAATTTGAGCGCCACAACGCTAGTCTCCGGCGGCGACGACAACCAAGTGTGCGTCTGGGATGTGGGCAGCCGGCAGCTGATCAAGAGCCTGCCCCAGAACGGCTCGGTGACCAACCTGCGAATCCGCCTGCTTAGCCCTGCCATCTTTCTGCCCGAGCACAAGCAGCCACAGCTGTTCGCCGACAGTCTGAAGAGGATGATCAGTCCGCCGGACGACAACGATGGCATCGAGCTATTGATCGATGAGGCCAGCTCCACAGGACGAAAAACACCAGAGCTGGACTACACGATAAGTTATCCAGGCACGGATGAGGAGATTATACTCAAACTAATAGCGTCCATGAGTACGGGAGGTGATGCGGCAGATGAAGCTGAATCCGAAGCCGAGGAAGTCGAATCCGCAGCGGAGGAAGTGCAATCCGAAAACGAGGAAATGGAATCCGCAGCCGAGGAGGTGGCTTCCGCAGCGGAGGAAGAATCCGGAGCAGAGGAAGTTCAGTCAGATGCAGAGGATGAGCCAAGTACGTCCGAGACAAGTGGCGTGGAGGTGCAGAAGCTACTGGCGGAGAATGCCCGCCTCAAGGAGGAGTCCAAGCGCCTGTTTGACCTCGTGTTTAAGTACATCTCCAGCGATCCGCCCGCCCCGGGTGACATACCGGCGGATAAGCCAAAGCGCAAGAAGGCACGTCAAAACTAGTGTACTATAGATTTGCCTTCAATTACATTTACTTAGGTTAAGAGTCAATAATACATGATAATAGAAAAAAACAAAACAAAACACAGACAGTGTCTAGAAACGATTAGGGTGATCAAAACAATAACTGATTGTAGGTGGTATCTACTTGGATGCACTCTCGCTGGCCGACTGACCGTCCATGTTGTCGTCGCCCGACTCCGACTCCGGAGCGTTGTCCTTCTCCTCTGCGAGCAGGCGACGGATCTCCCGGTTGGAGTTGAGCAGCTCCCGCAACTGGGACATGATGTCGTCCGTGCGCTGCTCCACGGCGTCCAGGGCGCAACTGAGGGCGTCCAGGCTGTTGTTCACGTCCTCCATCTCTGCAGGGGTCATGCCATTAGTGCCAATCCCGACCAGAATCAGAGGGGCCAGCGAGACTCACCTTGGAGATCCGCCTCCTGGACATTGGTGTTGCCGGAGTCGCCGGACGACGAGGGATCGTGGTTGTTCTTGGGTGACATTTTCCCAGGACTGTTCCCCGAATTTTCCCTGTTTGTATTTTCCAGTGGATTTATTGTCACGGGACGGCTATAAACGCTAGAGATGGTCGATAGTTTTCGAATGGGCAAATCGCTTTGGTTGGAATAATAGGGGGATTCCTGAAATGGAATAGTACTTAATACCTGTTTGTAGATACACACTTGAGGTAGTAGTTCGTGACACGAATAAAGACACGGTGTTTGCCCATCTCTAGTCCGCGTTGGATCCAAACCAACGGTTGTTTTCCATCGAATGGCGACCGGAAGGGCAGCCATCTTTAAATTATAAACGGTTTTCATCCATTAAGCTGGCTTTTTGAAATCTAACAGGTAATACAGATCAGCTTTACACGGTATAAGAATTATAACATTTTTCATTGGCATGTTTATCAATTTAGACTATTAACAATTTGTCAGGCCAAATAAGAAACTTTAAATTTTAAGCCAAATCTCTGGTTTAAGTGTTAAAGATAAAAAAATTTTGTTGGTTCCTTTTTCTCGAACAAAACGAAAGATTGGGCAATCCGCCGAATACCCATAACATTTATATTAGACCGTGTTGTACTGCTCAAGCCGGCCACACTAGTGAACTGACATAACATAAACCACAACAATCGAAAGATGAACAAATGCCTTAAGTACCAGCCCCGGATATTGCTTTCCCAACTCGGCGTAAGTCCATTGATCCCTCGGCGGATGTCCATTTCTTCTATTCTTAACTTTCACAGCTGCCACGATGCTATGCCGCCGGTGTACAATCGGAGCCACAGCCCCCAGCCCCACAAAAAAAGTCTGTGGTCGGACTGCCCCACAAACCCGATCCCAAGGCGGTCAAGTGTGACTATATAGGACCGCCGGATGCGCAGTCCAACCTGCGGCCGTATGTGCGGCACTACGACGACGACGAGACGCGGCTGGCGAGGAGTCTGCGGCTAAAGAGAATCGAGGTGGAGGCGTGGAACACCGACTTCTGGACGAGGCACAATAAGCGCTTCTACGAGGTATGTGCTATAGGATCTCGAGATCGAGATCTCATCTGCCGTCTCTTTCTGACGCCCTCTAATCCCGTCCCTTTCGTTTTCGGTGAGCAGGAGAAGGAGGACTTCATCCGGCTGCATAAGGAGAGCGGAACCGAGGAGGTGTCGGCGGACCAGATGAGCCACTTCTACAAGGCGTTCCTCGACAAGAACTGGCGCATTCACATGATGTACAACATCTCGTGGTACCTCAAGAACTTCGACATCCTCACCCTGGCCGGCGCCGTCCAGCTCCAGAGGCTACTCGCGCTGGCCAAGCGGAGAACATAGGTCCAAAATTCCTAGTCCTTATTATTCATTTTGTTTCGTCATTAGTTTCAAATAAAACATCGTGTGTGTAAAATGGTGGCATAAAATTTACTTAACTATTAAAGGGGATGAAAAATACACGTTGCTTGGAGTTAGTTAATGTACTTAAAGGTAATTGCAAAACTATTTAAATAAAATAAAATAAAAATAGATATTTATATTCTTATCGGTATATATATTCAAAGAAGGTTGTACATTTTGCACACGGATACATGTGGGAGAGCAGGGATAGCTCCCCATGTAAAGTATGCGAATATTGAAAGATAACCACTATAATTATGATAATAGTAATGGTAAACAGAGGGGAAAGGCACACACGCATAAAGTCAAGTTTTGGGTCGGCCATCGGGGCGGGAATCGGGGGTCGGGGGCGGTCAGTTTCCTCACGATTATTGCAATGGTGATGGATATGGATGTGGATGTGGATGTGGAAATGGTGCTAAAACAAAAAAAAATAAGATGCTCCTGCGGCCGTGGCTGTGTAAGGTAAGGAAAGGGGGTCAGGTCAGGTCAGGTCAGGTCGGGTCGGGTCAGGTCAGATATACATTACAGGGGCTGTGGTCATGTCCTAGCATTAACATTTATATTAATATTTATATTCTCTCTATATAGAAACGATAGCAATCATTCAATTTAAACTATGAAAACACTCTCCACTTCTCCACTTTTCCACTTACGAGCGATATATAGGATACGAATTAGCTACAGTGGGCACATATACATAACTTACAAGGTTCTATGCTCTCCACGAGCATATCTGCATATCTGCACATAGCATATATAATTGTATATATGTACACGGTCTATCGGTCTATACTGCTTAGCAAATCTATCTTGTTGATCAGATATAACAATTCCTGTTCATGTTCACTGGGAGCGACGCGCACGGCGCCGCTTCTTGCGCTTCCTTTGGTCCTCCGGCAGAGGCTCCTCCCGACTCTAGTTCATCCACTTGCGACAGTTGGGCGCTCCGCAGGCACACGGTATCTTGTGCGACTCGTCCTCGATGTCGAACTTGTAGTCGTACGATAGCTAAAGCGGACGATTATGAAATACAAGATTAATCGGTGCACTCGTAGGAGATACCATTCACGAAACCCACCTCCTCGCCGCGATAGATCTTTCGCTTGGCGAATATTATGATCCGCACGTCGCGATCGACCTCCACGATCTCCGTCACACAATTGGGATTGCACGAGTGGTTGATGTAGCGCGCCAAGCCACCGCTCAGAGTGGCGTCCACCACACGATCCTCATCCAGCCGGAACATGTAGATGCCGCGGTTCTGTGGAAGCAGTCAGGAATTAGTCAGGGATTACAGAGCAACGAACCGGCTGGCAAAACCCACCTTGGACTCGTACTGCTTCTCGCGTATCTCGGAGACCTCGGTGCGGATGACCTCGCCAATGTACTCTATGATCATGGTGTGTTTCTCAATGTCCCGAGCGGCATACAAGCCCAACCCCTGGATCTTGGACCTGGACAAGGAAAATCGTTCAGAAATGGTTAGGTATGGAAGAGATCTTGGTAGCTAACCTGGCCAAGTAGACGTTGTTGCGCCACTCCTGCTTCATCTTTTTGTACTGGGAGCTCTTCGAGTGGACGAACTGCTTGCTGTAGGGACAGGCCACCTCGCCGGCAATCGCTGCCGAGTTGGCCATCCGCTGGGTGCTGCAGCTGCCGGCCGTTCGCTGTGTGTGCGGCTTCCGCCAGACGAGCAGCTGTCGTTGCTTGGGCTCTGTGCGTGCCGCTCCGGACGGATTAATAGCCAGCGGGAACTCCAGCAACGGGTTGCGGCCGTACTTGAAGCGGTAATCGGTTAGGGTCTCAATGCCCGGCAGACTTTCCAGGATACGCACAATGGCCGGTTCCGTTAGGCCAAACAGATCCTCGCCACTGATGTGCTGCGGGAAGAGCTGCAGCCACTTGTGCACCTTGCGCAGCCGCGTGATCGGCTGCAGGATCTGCTGCCACACCGCTGAGGGTGAACTGTCGCGGAACTCGCGCTCCGGCTCCTTGTCGCCGGCGTCCTGCACCAGGATGCGGAACTCGGGCTTGCAGCCGGCCTCCGCGATGCTGCAAATGTATCGGCACCTACGATTTGGTCGCAGCACGCACCAGTAGTAGCGACTCTGTGGGAGGAATGGAATTAACAGATATTCCAAGTAGCTTGCTGGTTTTATGAGGATACTTACCACCTTATAGCCAATGGGATATATGTAGTGGGGCGTATGAAAGGCCTCCAGCTGATGGGGAAGCAGCTGACCCACGTTCAGAAACGTCATGTTGCCTACGCGAAGCAGGTTGCTCAGCTCCGAGTAGTGCATTACGGTGGCCACCTGGCGGTTCTCATCCCGATCGACGAACACCCTGCGATGGACGACCAGCGAGCTCAGTTCATTTTCAGCCACAGATCCTGCCGCTCCTCCGCCAGCCGCGGCGCCTGCCCCGGCTCCCATAGCGATGCCGGCATGGGCATGACCATGGGCACTGCAGTGGACGGACTTGTTCTTGTAGAAAACGCATTCTTCGCGAATCGCGCACGGCAGGTGGTACAGGCTGTTGCAGCGCGACTTGAAGCACTTGATGGTGGCGCCCAGTTGGTGGCAGGCGCTGCACGACTGGTTCAGTCCCGCCTGCAGAGCCGTCTGGAAGTTCATCAGCGCACCGGACACCGTCTCATAGACGCCGTTGGACCAGAGGGCACAGTTAAGGTGAACCTGGATGGTAAATGGATGGTGTAAATTAGCCTAGGATGCACAACCCTGTTTCTTGCGTTGGTTACTCACCCATTTATCGACATCGAAGTTGAGCAGTCGCGAGGGTCCATCCGCCTGGCCGTCACCCCGCTGATTGCAGAAAACGCACTGCCGGGTGTCCTCCAGCTGCAGTCCACTAGCCTCGGTTTCCCAAACTGTATTATTGGCCGGTCCCGTCCCACCAGTTCCCGTTCCTGCCGATCCATCGAACTCCAGTTTGACGGCCATTGAGTCCGTTGCAAAGCAATCGGCACTGAAGCACTTCACGATGCACTTGCGCTGCACGGGGATATTGGTGGGTGTGCCACCAGTGGGTACACCCTGCGGTTGGTCTGCTGTCTCGTCCTCTGGTTCTTGTTTGACCACTGTTTCCGCCAGGGCCGTGGAGCTGGTGTTGGATCTGCTGGGCGATTCGCCGGTGGAGAAGGTAGCGGTGGAGCCACCCGCTGGCTGAAGCAGCAGACTAGCTGCCTCCGCCTGACCCTCCTTTCCGGTCCACTTGAATCTCGCAAAGCAGGTGCGATCGCAGAAGTAAACAAACGGTGGTGGAGCAGATTTCCTGGGCAGCAAATCCATTAGTTGGGCCAGCCGGGGCAACTGCTCCTCCAGCGCAGGAACACTGTGCCGGGGAACTCGTAGCCCAGTTGCATGGACAACGTTCCCACAGCTGCGACACAATTTTCGGCGTCCACTGAGGATCTTCCGCAGATGTCCATGACTCACGGTCAGCGGTCGCTTGAAGTCGTTCCGGTGCTTCTCATCGTCTTGATCCATAAATTGGTCCTCCAACTTGTCGCCCGTCTTGTCCTCAATGATCTTGCAAGTGAGGGCGGGCGCCAGGTGCAGCAGATTGGCCAGATCCCGTAGCACGCCGGCAATGTTCTCAGAAGCCGAGGCGGGCAGTGCGAGTATCACATTCTGGTTCTTCTGCTGGTAGTTATTGTTGTTATTATTGCCCAGGGATCCCATGCCCAGCTCCAGTTGCTGTGCCTTGCGCAGTTCCTCGCCACAGGATCGAAGTAGCGGCGACACGGGCACCCGCATGGTCACGGGATCCTCCGGCAACGCGACCGGCGACATCCGTCCGTGACACCGGCTATTCCCATTAAGCAGTATTAATCCTGGATAACGGGTGAGTCGCGGGAAAGCCGCCCACGCAGCCACACCCTCGCTTTCCACCAGGTCTGTGGTCTCCATATTGCTATCCTTAACGGCACCAATGTGTCGTACCAGGCGCTCGCGAGGATTGCGCTCCATATGCGTGGAGAACTCCTGGTCGTAAAAATCGTTCTGGATGCTAGACATGGGTAGCATCTTATCCGCTCCCGGAGACGCGGATGGCGACGGCGAACGGTTAGCAGCCGATCCTCCCACCAGGCCTCCACTTCCGCCGAAGCGTTCGCTGTCGTACAACGAAGGAATCCCCGGCAGACTCACTCGTCCAAAACGGCCTAGGATAGCGCCATCACAGTCCTCCAGACCCTCCAAGTGCCTGCTCAGCGGCCAGCCTCGACTTCCTAGAGATCCTCCCTTCATTTTACCTCCACCAGCTGAAGATGATCCGCTGGCCGATGTCGTGGAACTGTTGGAGGAGGGTGAACCACCAGCAGAGGCCTCGTTGCTTCCGATAAGAAAGTGGAAGTTGCGATTCAAGTGCGGCTCCAGAACTTGGAGCGGGTGCATTTGTCGGATGTGGGTGAGGAGCTTTTCGGTAAATGCATCGTGATCCTCCTCCACCTTGGAAAATTTGCGCACTCGCTTCTTGAGCATCGGCGAGGAACCGGCTCCGGGAACGGCCCCAAATCCTCCAAGAGTAACTCCTGCTTGTCCGGTGCTGCTGGTGATCACATGACCAGTGCCTGGTGTCGCCCCCTGGATGTACTGTGTTCCCGGCGGCATTCCTGCCAGTTGGACCATTGCACCTGCTGGCAGCGTGCCTGTCATATCCTTAACAGTTCCAGCCGCCTGTCCGGCGTTTAAATTCGTGCGCCTTGGCTTCTGAACCTCCCGTTTGCGGCGCTTTCTTTGGTCCCCCGTCTTGGGCTCAATGGTGGGCACGGGGACGGGCCCTGCACCTTGTCCAGGAATTGATACTGGTATCGTCGAAGCTTGTTGTTGGTGGTGCTGTTGCTGCTGCTGCTGCTGGGGATGTACCGCCACATGAAGCTGATGCTGCACTTGCAGGTGCATTTGTGCGGGTATTTGGCCAGGGACGTGCCCAGAGATCTGCCCGGGGATCTGTCCAGCCAGCTGACCCTGCATGGCCGCCTGCATTTGCGCCTGCATCTGTACCTGGCCCTGGCTCTGGTTCTGAATCGGTTGCGCCTCGCCAGGTCCGCCGGGTTTCTTAACATAACTGGCAAGCGTCGAGATGAGCTGTACTTTTTCCGGTCCAGTTTGTCCAGTCGGTGTGGCTGGCAGAGAGGCACCCATGGGAATCTCCACCTGTTGCTGGAGCTGCTTTTCGTCCAGCTGCGGATGCATGGGCAGCTTGCGTTTCTGGGCCTCGCCAGTCTTGAAAGGTATCTTTGTGGCTCCCACACCTCCCTCTATGTGGTTACTATTGCTCCATTGCGCAGACACAACTGTTCCCCCGGTGTGAGATACTCCTCCTGCTACAGTGACTCCCTGCTCTGAATGAGGTGGCGGTTCGGCTTGCTCAGGCAGCGATTCTTCGCCATGCTCCATGGGAAGCGACATGGCTATTGCCTTTGGCTTCATCTGCAACTCCTTGGGCGCCGCTTGCTTTGTTGATATGGATATGGTCACATTCGATATGGGAGCCGTGGCCAGTTCGTAAGGCGGAGGAGGCAACAGTTCCGTCGGCTTTGAAGTAGCCTCCGTCACGAGTTTATTGGACGCAACGGGTCCAGAGATAAACGATGTTTCCTTGGACACAATCTGCACTGTCTGCTTGACTTGGTGGGGCATCTGTTGCAGCTGCTGCTGTGATTGCTGAGGTTGCTGCTGCTGCTGTTGCGGAGGAGGTGGTGGTGGTGGCGGATGGTTTTGGTTCTGATTCTGGATAGTTGCAACCACAACAGGCTGATCCGCTTTCTGCTCTAGCTTTGGTTCTCCTCCCAATCCAGGTGTGGTGATGGCGACAGCCGTAACTGGTGTTCCAGTCACTGAGGCGGTGGCTACCTGCTGGCCTCCACTGGCTACCGTTGTAGTTGTGGTTGAAGTGGCCACCGACTTGCCGCTACTACTACCCGCCGCTTGCGTAGCAGCTGGCACCGGCGGAATCACCGGACGTGCCAGTTGCGCCTCCAAGCTACTGACCTTCCCCATGCTAGGCGCTCGCACATTGATCACCTTGCGGGCGGAGAGAGGTGCCGTCGTGGAAGCGGAGCCAACGTGGGTCGAGGGGAGACTGAGGGTGTGACTGCTGCTGCTGTTTTGAAGCAGTTGCTTTAGCAGTGCGTTATTCGAATCCTCAGTTCCTGAACGTTGATTGTTGATCGGTGTGGCTGTCGCATTTGCTGGAGGGTTGGGTGTACTGGGATTCGAAGCGGTTGAGGTAGGAGTGGCCATCTGAATTTGATTTGCAACCTGATTCTGCACCTGGTTAATAGGCGTCATTGTCGTGTTGGCGTTTAAACGCTTCTCCGGCGTGCTAAGCTCCTCGCTGCGCTCCTGTTCGCTCGACGGAGTAACTGTCGTATCTTTCACGGCGGCCTCCTGTTTGACCAGCAGCTTAGCTTTTGTTTCGCCAGCAATCTCCTCCAGCTTGACCCCTTCAGGGGCCAGACTTACGCTGAGTTTTGCAAGCGTGTTCAGCTGCATTGAAGCTGCAACGGCTGCGGCTGCACCCGAGGTGGCTGATCCAGAGGCTGCAGAAGATCCCGTCTTATCTGCACTCGAATCCTGAACCAGGGCATGGTGCATCTGCAGCGCCGACTGGCTGGCCAACGTGGTGGTGGTGATCATCTTCGGTTTTTGCTGGGCCATCGTCGTCTTGGACAGCACCAGGGATATGTTCTTGTTCTGAATGGAGATGATGGGCCGCGAACCCATCATCGGACTGTTAATGCAGATGGTGCCCGCCGACACGGAGACGGTGGAGGTGGTGGCCAAATCTGAGGCACTCCCTGAAGCCGGCGTCATGGTAAACGTCACGGGTGTACCTGGTCCACTGCCTACAGCGGATATCGTTTGACTTTGGGCAGGCTGCTGCTGCTTGAAAATGTTAAAGCTGGGCGGGCAGTTGAGCGTGTTCTTGTCCAGCGGCTTGATAACAACGCTGTTGATGTTGGCGAACTCCTCTGGGCCAACGCTCGCATCCTGGGACTTGCTCTTGTTCAGGATCTTCTGCAGGTTCTCGGAGTAGGCGGTGATCTTCCGAGGCGCCGGCGAATCTTCTTCCGAATGGGATGCTGCTCCCAAAGCCGCGGCATCCTGAACCATTGCGTAAGTCTGGCTGGGATTGGTGGTGGTGATGGTCACTATGCTGCCGGTGGGCGGGGCCAAGCCACCGCCGCTGGTCACTTGAAGCTGCTGAAGTTGCTGCTGCTGCAGCTGCAGTGACATCTTCTTGCTCACCACCTTGGTGGCCACAATCTTGGTCGCCTGTTTGATCTGCAGACCCGTGAACGCGACAAGGGTGCCGGGATTTTTTGGCACCCGCTTAATGAGTTTGGTGAAGTTGTGATGTGCATGCGGATGACCGTGCTGGTGCACCTGCTGACCACCGCCCGGCTGCGCGGCACTCATCACAGTGGTCACCTGACCACCTGGCTGCAGCAGCTGCTTACTCTCCACAATCGTGGCTCCTCCGGCAGTGGCCGCTCCACTGGCGCTCATGCGCGGCTTGAGCAGCGGCACCGATATTGTCTTGTTGCCAATGGACACCTTGGCCGTGGTCTGTGTGACCTCCGCCAGCTTCTTGGCGTTGACTACTAGTTGGGTCTTCATCTTGGGGTGCAGATTCACCCGGTTCAGCAGCGTTGTGGTGGGTGTTTGGCTGCCAGTGGCCGTGCTATTGAAGATATTGTAGTTGGTGTGTCCGGGCTTCTGGGTGAGGATCGTGGTGGTGCCGGCTCCACTGACTGCGGTGGCCCCATTGTTGGCATTCAAAATTATGGTGGAGGTGGGTCCAATGGGCGTTCCCGTTTGGTTGCCCGTCCCCGTGGCATTCCCCACGGTCAGAATGTTATCTGCGCCGGTGGCTGGCATCTGCACGTAGTCGAGGTCCGCCGCCTTGCCGGGATTGTCTGCATGATCCTGCCCCGAGCCGCTGGGCTCGATGGAGATGACGGAGGCGGTGGAGGAGGAGGACGACGCCGACGAGGAGGCGCCCTCCTTTTTGGTAAAGCTGGCGAAGGCTGGTGTTCGGGAAGGAAGAGGGTTAGGTAAACTACACATTGGAGTCACTCTGAACTCACTCTGCTTGTCCGCGTCCTCCGCCTTGATGGCACCCATCTCGGTGCCGGGGCCGAGGTTGCACACTATGATCTGCTGGTCGCGGGCGTCCCAGGCGCCGTCCTCCGACTGGGCATCCTGCGGATCCGGGGCACCTTTCACCTGCGCCTTAACCTGCTGGCCAGCCCGCTGGTAGAGGAGCTGCTGCGGCGGAGCGGCCGACGCTTTGGCGGGCAAACTGGGCGCTGGCACTGGCGTTCCGAAGGCAAGGTCCGTCCTGGCCTTCTTCCGCGAGGGATCCTCCGACGGAATGGCCGGGTCGTCGGCGCCGCTGCGCTTCTGCAGGCTGACCGCATTGAAGGCAGCAGCGGCCACGGATGCTACACGTTCGGGTTTCGCCTTTTCGGCGGCACCAAGCGATGTTGTCACCTTCGGTATATTCATAACAAACACACAAGTGGAAACGCTGGACGCGGGATGCGATGCGCTGCGTTTCGTGGGACGGGAAGGGCGGCGGTCTAGCTAGCTAGGGCTCGCGCGGCCTGCTTTTTTTTTTAGCGAACGAAAACATGCACGATTTTGTCAAAAAAATTTTTATTTTCGTGTATGCAGTAGAGCTGGTACAACAGCCGATATTTCATCGATACTATCGGTGTTTTCGAAAGTCCGGCCACATTGACACTGTAATAGAGCGTACACACCACGGCGATCTTCCTATCGATAACGATAGCAAGGGAAACCGCATAGTAGGTGTCTACACTTAGCAAAGTTGAGCTTCTGCATCTCGCAATACCTTTTTTTGGGCGCCATATCTACACGGCCAAGGGAGCCCACAAAAATATATCTTGAAAAACAATTCATTTACCTATTTTTACAAAGACAACTGGAAATTAAAAGCGTTTATAGCTTAGCTGCTTATATTCCATCAGACATTTTTTTCCAGACAGTTTTTATTTAGCTTGAGCATCTGTTTGTTGCGCTAGTGAAGAGGTGCTATTGCCGACCGATAGGACAAAATAATCGAATTAATCCTAATTAATGCCACTAGTTTTACCTATCGAATAAGTGGTAACAGTAGTAAATAGTGCTATCAAATGTAGATCTGGCAACGCTGCCCCGTTGATGCAACACATTTTTAGAAAAGGAATTATAAAAATAAATAGATAATCAATTAAAACAAAAACCCGCCATGCTAAGCCTGAAAACAGTCACACAGCTTTTCAAGCACACCCTGTCAGGTGAGTTGCATAGGTGTTTCCCCTAGCAGCACCGAGGATAATGGACTTCTCCTTAACTTTCAGCAGGCAACATAGCAATTGTCAACACAGCCGGCCTCAAGTATTTCGCCCCGCCCATCAAATACCAGAGTAAGTAGCTGCACATGGAGCATAGTATAATGCAAGAAGTTAACCACATGCCCGGGAACGGAAATCCACAGATGTGGAGCAGCCGGAGCGGCCCAAGCTGAGGATCATGGAGCGCCAGCCGCAGCTGCCGCCAAACATTCGTCCGCCCAAGATGCAGAAGCGCCTCCGGTATATGCGCGGTCCGGAGACGGTGCACAACACCCTGCTCCACAAGCAGTACGCGATCGTGGCCACCGGCGGCGGACGCCTGCGCTGGGGCCACTACGAGATGATGCGCCTGACCATCGGTCGCAAGATGAATGTCAGCACTATGTTCGCAACGTGGCGCGTACCCGCTCCCTGGCAGCCGATCACCAAGAAGGGCCAGGGCCAGCGCATGGGCGGTGGCAAGGGGGCCATCGATCACTATGTGACGCCCATCAAGGCCGGTCGAGTCATCGTCGAGATCGCCGGCAAGTGCGAGTTCGTCGAGGTGAAGTCGTTCCTTCAGCAGGTGGCCAACCAGCTGCCCTTCCAGGCCACCGTCGTCTCCCAGGAGATGCTCGACGAGCAGCGCGCCGCCGAGGAGGAGCACGCCCGCCAGAACGAGAATCCATTTACCATGAAGTACGTGATCCAGAACAACCTGAGCGGCTGCCATCGATGGCTCTCGCCCGTCGACCACAAGTGGTTCGGCAAGCACCTGTAGACGTACGATCCTCTCAATAAAGAAAGCCTTGTTAATCTGTTACGACACCAGTTTAAGTTTGGGGCTGCAATACGATTCTTCCGTATTTCTTAGTTTTAGCTTTTACAATGGGAACTTAAAACTGCACTTCTAAATTCCATATTTTGAGTTATTGGACTCCGATTTTGATGTGGGATACCTCAATGAATTTGTGGTTGAATTCTCTAATGTTCTACATTCAAATATTTCTTTTTAAAGAGGGTTAACATTTTTACCCATTTCCATGTTAGATTTTTCCGTATTTCCATAGCAGTTAGAATGAGATCCCAAAACTGCACTTTCAGATTCCATAACTTGAGTTATTGGATCCCGATTTTGAATTGGGATGCCTTTATGGATTGGTGGTTGAATCCTTTAACGATCTACTTTAAAATATTCCCTTTAAGAGAGGGTCCAAATTTTAGCCTGTTTTCATGTTACTTTTTCCCTATTTACAATGGGTTTCAGTATGGGACCCCAAAACTGCACTTCCAGATTCCATAACTTGAGATATTGGATCCCGATTTTGAAGTGAGATGCCTTTATGGATTGGTGGTTAAATTCTCTAACGATGTACATTAAAATATTCCTTGTATGAGAGGGTCAAAATTTTAGCCTGTTTTCATGTTACTTTTTTCCGTATTTCCAATGGGTTTCAGTATGGGACCCCAAAACTGCACTTCCAGATTTCATAACTTGGGTAATTTGATCTCGATTTTGAAGTGGGATGCCTCTATGGGTTGGTTGTTGAATTCTCTAACGATCTACATTAAAATATTCTCTTTAAGAGAGGGTCAAAATTTTAGACTGTTTTCATGTTATTTTTTCCGTGTTTCCGATGGGTTTCAGTATGGGATCAAATATTAGCCAATACTCAGTTTGTTTTTTCCTATTTCCAATGGTTTTTAGAATGGGAACACTAAACTAAACTTTAATAATACATTACTAAAGTTATTGCATTCCGATTTTGAAGTGGGATACTTCTATGAGTTCCATCACTGTTAAACCCCCGATTAAGTAAATAACAAAAGCATGTAAAGGGAAATGTACGAGTTCTATTGCAAACATTTGTTTAATTTTCCATTTCGTTTATGTGGATAATATGTAATGCCATATAATATGTTCTTGCCGTTGCGTTCGCATTATAATTAATATATAATATGCATGTATGCCAGTGTGTGTATGTTTTGTCGAGGGGTGTGTGAACAATAGCCTTCTTCCACGGGCCTTATAGTTGCCATCGTCTTCGTCCTGCCGCAGCATCCTCATCCTCCTCTTCGTCTTTGTCAATCAAAATCAACACTTTTCGTTGATCTAGTCAAATATCGGTGATCGGTGATCAGGGATCAGGGATTAGTGATTGCTCCATCTATACTCCCTAGTCCATGGAGTCACAGCCGGTGGAAGAGGGCTATATTGCTGGGACGGGGGATTCGTGTGTGTTGTTTTGTGTTGTTATTTTTTTCTTTTGGGGTCGAATGGATTCTCGACCCTTACCCTTAAGCTCGGCGGCTCGTCTAACAGTCGGTATCGTACCAGGCAGCCAGATTGTTGTTGTCATTGGGGGGCGTCGGCATGGCGTCCAAATCAAAGTTCAATGCACCGGCATCAATCTCGCCGACGTCCATGTCCATGGAGTAGGGCGATGTGGGTGCGCCGCTGGGCGGGATTGGGCCGATGTTGCCACCGCCGCCGCCAGCTCCGCCCACCGCTCCACCATTGCCGGCAGCACCGCCAGCGCCGCCGCCGCCCACTGGGCTGCTGATCTCCAGACCTTGCATCGAATCTATTGGTAGAGTATCATATCCTGCGGACAAACGAGAGTGGTGAAAAAATAATGGGGGAAAATTGTGATCAGTGAACAGTATTCTTAATCAACCAGTCAACCAGCCATCAACTGGCAGTTGGTGTGCCATTCAAAAAGTGGATTCATCATCATTCATTTGATCTATATGTCTATCTCGTTTTAGTCGATTTATTTGCCAAATTGCATCAATATTACAACAATCAAGTACATGAAGAATAGCTTAAATCTTTAGTATTCTTTAAATGGTATTATTTTCTTTTTGTCTTAAAACCACAACTTTTTGAATTATAACAATTCAAACGAAATGAAGATTCCACTTATACACGGCTGCATTTGGCATTTTGACCTAAAGTATAAAACAACATAAATCGGTCGCTGAATGCAGCTTAAAATTTCTAAAACTAAAGTACGTCACGACAAAGATCAGTTAAATCGTCCTCTCAAATCTGCATGCACACGTCTTAGAAACTAGATATGTATATACACACGGTAAGATATATGGATATTGGTGACTAGTTCTATGCGATTATCGCAGGCTACGTGACATGCAAAATGAATCGAACCGAACTAAAGTTTAGTACTCCTGTTTCTCCGTTGCTGGGAAACTTGAATTGTAAATGCATTCTAATGAAATCAAACGCAAGAGATGTATACAAAAGGATAAATATTTAAAATTATTAGTGTAACGTAAATGTTGTTCCATCTTTCTCGTCCAATTGATGATATGTAGGTATATCACGGCTATGAGGGGAGTATAATGAAAGATAGAAACAAACTCTTTTAACATTGGTATCCTTTCTTCACAGCGTTGCACTTTGCAGTTATTTGTGGGTGTTCATTATTTGTGCGTGTTGTGCCAAGATCTTCGAGCTACGTGTCAAAAGTCTAAAACTTGTTCGGTTAAGGCTATAGGGAACTTATATTCTTTTCCATTTGAGGACTGGCCATTATTCTTTAAATTCAAAAATATTGACGCTCAACGTAACGAAGCAATATTTAATAATTTAATTATAAAGCTGAATAAATATAAAATATGATTTTTGAAGGGTGATCGGGTCACATTGGGTCTTTTTTTCTTTTCCAGAAAACCGTCTGGCATAAAACATTATAAAGTTCATCCTGTAGGCAGGAAGTCTTCGATAAAGCTGCTGATAGGAATAATTGGCGCCCAACGTGGGGCATTAGCTGTATGTATGTATACGCTTCACCCGGTTAGTTTCTAATTTCTCCACCAATGGAAACCATAGTTTGAGGAGTTGCTAGTGGAAAAGGGCGGAGCTATGGTAAAATAACCGAACAACACGCACGCAAAACGGAGGACATTTATTTATTTCCTTTGCATGCATCAGTGGATATTAAGGGGCAACGAAATTAGGGGGATTTCGAGCAGGTAGACAGAGAGATAAAGAGATCGAGCGAGGGGGCACGGTACAAAAAGGGCAGGGGGGTTAGGTTTGGCTCACACTGAAGAAATTTAAGTGAGCTTAACGTTTTTAGCTTCGATTAAGTTGTGCTTATTTCAAAGATGAACAGACATGATAACGATTAAATGTATGCAGGGTAAGAGGGTCGGGCTCGGAACCCAAAAGGAGTTATCGAATTGTCTGAACCTGTAAACGTTCCCGTTAGTTCATTTTTTTAATGGGGTGGTTATGCGGGGATTCTTCTTCTTGGGGCGGGCGGGTTTGAGGGTCGGGATCTCTTATGCATATGACATACATACCTTGCTGATGGAATGCGCGACC